CCCACTCGCTAATAAACGTTTAAAAAACAACAATAACTTTCATCATTTGAACAGTTTGAAAATGTATTTGGAATAGGTTTAACTTAATGTTTAAGTTCCCTGTTTAAGAAATAGAAAACATACGAGTCTTCTCATTTCATGGGAATATCCCGAGTCTGTAATCACGGCTTCAATTTTTGAATTGCGGAATAATTAGATGCACTATCTAGTGTATATAAGATATCTATGCTGCAAACGGCCAACTTGAAATAAGTCATTAATTAATATCTGTGATCTATCTAGTATCTATCTATCTATCACAGGAAAAGTTGTAAATTACAAGATGCGTCATGCTTAGATATGCTGGTCACTGGATCACATCAACTTACAGGTAAGCATGTGATAGGAAACTCGTAACGAAGGAAAGAATCTCTGTCCAGTTTTTCAACGAGACTCCACACAGGACCGTGGGGACCAAGGAAACGTCGAAAACCTTCCAGCGATCTAGAATGTGGCGTGTGTAAAGCCCAGCCTTTGTTGGGAATGACGCTGAAAATACTGGCAAGAAGATGAGGGTAAAATACATGGAGATCCTAAAAAGAAGATAATAGATTTATGGCTACACATTTTTTGTCTCCAAAAAAAAACACACACCAAGACAGTACATTTCCTTATAAATGTACCCTGTTAATACAGCCACCAGACATTCCAACTCTCCCGATTTTACTGGGAGTCTCCCGAAAATTTGTGCAATCTCCTGGTCTCCCAATTTTTACCACATTCTCCCAATTTTTCAGAATATTCAGGAAATATTGTAAAAAAGTCATAAACATACAGTATTTAGCAACATAATAGTCTGTCTTGACCTTTTTATGAACGTTACTTTACTTTGTGGCAATTTATAGGATATTATATCACTTAATTATATTCCCAAAATGCAGGAAACGCAAATTTCAGAAGACTTATTTTTTATTATTTTTTCCCCAGAAGAACTATAGATTTCAATTCACTGAACAGTCTCCCTAAATTTTACCTCCAGTAGTTGGAATGTCTGAGCCACCCTGATAACACAACTGCATTGTTATGGCCCTTTCTATGCCATATGTAAAACTGTACGTAATATATAAATATACCTTGATAGACTATACTGTAAATATACCTTGATAGAAAGCTCATTTATCATTCTTCGCACATCCTCACATCTTTCAGGAAAGGGCTTTTGCAATGAAATGTGGATTTGTTCCTAAAAATACAATTTTTTATGGTGTTTACACATAGTGTAACACCCTACAAGTGGCAATGTCATGTTGTGCCCAGATGACCCTACTACTTTATTATTTTACTTTTTTTACTAGTTAATTAAAAAGTCACAATAACAAGCATGCAAATTACAGTAGTGTCAGTCACTGGACATTGTCTGGATAGCATTTTACTGTATAACCAGATATGTGACCAACCAATTTTGGTTGGTTAAATGTTCCAACCCAAAAAATTGATTTTAACACATTTTTATTAATTAATGAAACCAAAGTGATATAAACAACACTTCCCCAAAATTTCTTGCTGCATTAAGCCACGAGGTTTTGTATAACATCGTAGAAAATTGAAGTTATTTTAATTGGATTGCTGCCACACAATCATGTCAAAATTGGTGCACAATCAGGAATGTTCAAGACCAAAAGTACAGCCAGAGTGTCTAGTTGCCTGGCCACTGGCCTCAATTATATAAGTAGTTGCCAAGTAGTTCCTTCATGTTATCAACTGCAATGGCCTCAGGGGCTGGCAGCTTGACCTCCATTGGCAGGCACCAACACAGTCTCTGATCATTTTCGACGCAAGGTTTACATACCAGACTTCATAGTATGGAAGTTTTCAACAAGATCTCAGACATAAAGACTAACATTTTAGCAATTTAGGTGCATGTACGAGTGAGCATGCAATCCTGTCTGAAATTTAGGGATATGCCGGATACTGTTTTGCTGGATACCGGATAGTAGTCTACCGGATACCGCGGTCATATGAAAATGATGACTGGATACCGGATAATACAGTAACCAGATACTCCCATTATAGCTTAATTAACTAGTCCAATGTGGCAATGTGTTTAATACAATAACTTCAAGAGTTTTTGTCTCTTTGACCTATTTGTCTTTACCAAGGCCATATCTTGTGATTCACCTTACATTATTTACTGGTATTCAGAATATAAAATTCACCGCTGTTGGCGAACGAGCAGTTGACATCACCATCCCCTTCATGGTTGTAACAAAATATCTTACAGTACTATCCGGTAAATATCCGGCAAATTTATACCGGATAGTGCCAGATGTCTAAATTTTACCGGATATCGGTATCCGGCACATCCCTACTGAAATTCATTCAAGCATGCACTAATGTTGGTGTTAATGTTAGAAATTGCCAATAATATGCAACAACTTCTAGTTGTGTAGGCATAAATATAGTTATTGAAGTGTGCAAAGTTATTGAACAAAAAATTCTCGTGTTGCAGTATGCACTTGCCATACTCTGCTGTCTGGTGACAACACATGGAAATATTATGAAGCCACTTCCAACAGCAGCCTGGGTTTCTAACCTCCAGAGCACAGCCTGAATCAGGCTCTGCTCTCAGGGTTCAACAACTTGTGCAAGCAAAGCAAACATATTGCAATGGTTAAAGTTATACAAACATAAAAATAATAAAATGACAAAAATCAATTTTTCCTCACCAAAAACAGCGCTTCTTGTCCAACTCTTGGGCTCTGTTTCTGAGCGTTGAAATCTTCAACGCGGTTACGAATCATTATTAAATTAAGGAGAAGTAATTACAACAGCGTTGACAAAATTCAAAAGAAAATATGCCACTTTATTGTGTAGTTTTTTTAAATTTAAAAATGCCTCCGACCGCCATGTTCCATGTTAAGAAGAGGCCGTACCCCCTGACGAAAAAGTGGATTCCAGGCATAATCAGGGGGGGGGGGTATCCGATAACGACTCGAACAAGAGACATAGCCAGAGAGTTTCTGTGAAATTAGCCTGCGTAACGGCTCTGAGAAACTTTCTCTGAGCCGTTACGCAGGCTACTGTGAAATCCGAAACGAGGAAAACTGGAATCTGTAAAATACAAAACAATAGATACTCCGAAAATTGAAAGCATTTTGAAAAATTTATTTCGACGTTTCGACTAAACTATAGCCATCATCAGGAAATGAATGATGATGATATTACATATACAAGTATATATAGTGAAGTAACAAGATACGATTAGCATAATGAAAAAATTAGTGAAGTAACAAGATACGAGTTGCAACACGTTCGCGACAGTTACGATCATATGAAAACCAGGCTTAAATGACTCTGACGGAAGCAGACAACCAAATAGATACAACAGATACATAGAATCTTTATTTAAACAAGGTAGCTCTTTCAGAAATTACAAATAAAATATGTTGTCAAAGAGGCCTTGCCTAAGTAGATACTACATCACAAAGCTTGGACATAGGAACGACTTGGCATTCCCGTGGTATCAACGGTAATTTCGATGAATACCGTATCCTGAATAAACCCACGACTATCCAGCACAGATTTGGGCACAAACAATGGGCATCCACCTGCGATATTCATATTGCTTGTGGGTCTTTGGAAACGTGAGCTGCTTGGAACTGGTCTGAGGCTATCAACGATATCCTGATCTCCAGTTTGATCGACGAACTTGAATGAAACTTCCTGTTGGAATGGCCATGGCAGCAAGTCATCATTCTCTCCATGCATCACAACCAGAAATATAGACAAGTGGGTTCCCTTACCCATGCCACTTCCATTCAAATACACACGAGCACACACCTAAAACAAATTATATATTGGACATTCAGAGTTGCCAAAAAGCTGCGGGTGTGCGGGTATCACCCGCGAGGAAGGTTTACCATATCATATGTGAGGTCCTCAAGTAACTCAAAAGTCAACACCACACCGTAAATAAATTATACTTGACTAGGCAAGTTGAGGATGCTGATGTTGCGCTGGATGTTAGGGACCGGCGTTTCTGTAGCAATCCTACGTATAACATATACATCTGTTTGTAATCACCAGCGTGTATAATGTTTGTATGCATGTGAGGACAATACAATCAACCAGCTCATCAATGTTAACTACTATAGTCAGTAGGAAATAGAAGTAAGAAGCCAATTCTGAATGACATTATTTATTTTGCAATTTGAAAAAGCCATAACTTATATTATTTTGAGGAATGTTTGAAAACTTGAAATTTTCCCCGGAGGAAGATTGAACACTTTTTGCAACAGTCTGACTTGAATGTTGGTAAAGATAATGCATGAGAGGGAGGCTTTCAAGATAGTTTGTTTCTGAGATTGGTAAAACGTGAGAGAATCAACTTATAATTATAACCTTGTATCCAAATTGACCAACATAGAAATCTGGACTATAGATAGACAAACATCTTCCAGCAACAGCATCTTGTAATCGTCTTCCAAAATCATCAATCTTCCAAAGGAATGTTCCATCATACGATGTTGTCTCCGACAGCATCTTCTCATCACAGTGTTTAACCTTTGCATCAATCTGTAGTTAAAACTGGTTTAAGTATGCAGACATTTTGCATATCAACATCCTCAATTAAAAGGGATTTCATACCCTCAAACTTTTTTTAATCCTTAGCTAAACCCTAACCCGACCTGTCCTTGTCCCAACTGTAAACCTTGGTCTAATTCCAAGCCCTACACCAGTCATTACTATGGTCCCAAACGGTCGGTGCCACCGTGCCAGTGTAGGTAGATTGAAAGAAATACAACTACCTATAACATGTAAGTAGAACTTCAGCGTTTCGAGCAAAGGCCCTTTGTCAGGAGGTTGTTAGTACTATGGTACTACTTGTTAGTATGGTACTACTGACAGTAACTTCCCAGTGACTGAGCATAGGTAATCGAGCATTTAAATTAGGCATAGGACATAACTGGTTGGCAAAAGACGTGCAGTTATGCATAAACATATTTAGGTCCACAATTAGCAATAATTAAAAAAATAAGAATTACTTTCATAAATCGCTGTGGTGGCTTCTTATATTTGCATTCTTGCATCATATGCTTTCCAAAGAGTCGTTTGAGCATCTTCGCATTGCACCCCTCATTTGGACATGTGCCCTCGACAAACAGGCAGTCTTTATGGTGCCGCTAAATAAAGTTGACAAAAATTCACTTAATTAATCTGTTTGGAAATCTCCCACTGATAAATGTTTCAACGATGGCCAGATTTTGAGAAGAGCTAGGTGTATGGGTTATGAGAGGTGAGCAGCTCTCCTGAGAATTTTGCACCTCCTCTGAAAATTCATAGTTGCATGACTGAAGCAGAATTTGAACTTGCACTTTTGGAATGCCAAATGTTTCCCAAACAAGTAACCAGCATTTGACTAACTTCTCGACAAAGGTTCTTCGCTTGAAACATTGAAGTTTTACTTGATTGTATTTTTCAGGTAGTTGAATCCCTTTCAATCCCCTTTTCCTGAAGGCAATTAAAAGGGATTCAACTACCTGAAAATACAAGTAAAACTTCAATGTTTCAAGCGAAGAACCTTCATCGGGAAGTTAGTCAAATGCTGGTTATTTGCCCAAATGTTGGTTGCATGGAAGAGGGTGATTTGAACCACGTTAAATCGCATCGTATTTGGCAATTTTTTTATCACAATGATACAAAACAGGGTCACTCGATAGCTAAAGGCCTGTTGTTTAATAGTATAAAAAAAGTAAATCTACAATCCTAAGTATATGTACACTGTACCTCAGGCATACAACATACCAAGATTGTATATAATCTACCCTTTTTGATAGTACACTGTATAACAAATTGCAGTACATAAATGTGCTTGAAAAGAAAGTACAGAAAATACCTCAATAACTCTTAACCGGCCAGTCCATTCACAGCCAAGATTTTTATTTCTGCAGAAGCATTGTAGCTCCAAGATTTGACGATTACAAAACTCATCGCGGAAAATACTTTCAGGAGTCAATTCTTTGTCATCCAAAGGACACTTGTTTCCACTAGATAAAATATATAAGCTATTTTAGCTATAAAAGGGGCCAATGTTATATGACTGCAGGGATTGCCGGCTAGAATGACAACAGGGCAAGGCAGACTTGCAGAGGGGCACTCTATCTGCAGTGGAGTTTCAACATGAGGTGTCAGAAGATTCCTGGAGTTTATGAACATTAATTTACCCAGTTCTATTAAAACTTTCTTTAGGGGGTGTTTATACAAAGGCAAGCCAGCCTAGGTACCTGAGCTAGCTCATTTTGCAGAGATCTAACAATGCTATCTAATTTACTAATATTCATCTTTAGTTTATATGGGAATGTAATTGCCTATCTATAGGCAAGATCTGGCTTTGCGATCAGGGATCTCGTGTAGGTGGGCTGAAATTTCCCATATAAATGCAATTAATGGGGCTGGTTCCCTAAGCGAGCTACACCTAAGCATTTACTTATTACTCTGTTCACATGAATTTATATATATTGTTGTAAAACAAGATTTTCTCAACAGATTTCAATCTTAAAAGGTGTTTGTGGACAATTCTGTGGGCTATAACCATGAAAGTTGCTTGCAAAAGTGTGAATTTCAGGTTGGTGAGAAAATATATTTATATATATATATTAATATACTGATTATAGTGGTGAGCCCAGTGGTTTGTTTTTACAGGACATGCAGTCTGCCACATAAGTCTCATAAAACACAGTGACAGGGTGAAAAGCAGCCCAGCCTAGTAATGGGAGCTATATAGAGTTGGAAAATTAAGAGTGTTCTCAGCACATTGTCAAGTCCCTTTTCCAGCCCACTAGCCAGGGTCCCCATCCCAGAGAATAATGATGACACAAGTATATTTTAACTTATCTGAAGCTCAAATATAGTCACAATTTGCGGAACAGAACGGGAATATACAAGAAAAGAATAGTTATACTTACTTTATATTTTTAATACAATCTTCGCAATAGCGATGACCACATTCTGTCTGAAAAGGACTTCGCAATGCCAAGAAACAGAACTGGCATTTTAGAGTAGCATCCAATGCCACAAATTCGAATTTGTAGCCACCGCGTCGGTTGGGATGTGCCATATTGTAAAATGTAGGGGGAAATGGATTCCCCTATTAGTAGCGCCATACTGCATCAAAAACATAGCAACCGATAAGTTGTGAGAAAATGAGCGAGAACGACACGTTTCAACCACTTCAACTTTCAACGTTTGAAATTATGGATTGAAAATTTAAATTTCCCACACTTTCACTCCGTCCACGCCCCTCCGGTACGTCCTTCCCACCTAACCTCGAGACTTACGCTCCCCCCCTGCTATTATAACAGGGGACCAGCTAACAGTCCGTGGGTCGTGGGTAGAATGTCGTGGATCGTGGGTAAAAAGTCGTGGGTAAAAGTCGTGGGTAAAAAGTCGTGGGTCGTGGGTAAAAAGTCGTGGGTAAAAAGTTGTGGGTCGTGGGTAAAAAGTCGTGGGTCCCAAATTTTGATATATTTACCTTTCTCCCTTTGGAATGCGTGTTTTTCTTCTTCTGACACTTTCCCAAGGCCGGGTTTTTGAAATCGGCAGATCGGTTTATAAATATTATATCTCGAACTCATTAATAATTCATGAGCAAATTAGCGAATGAATTCACCCTAATTCGTCACATGATTGAGGTTGGATACCGCAAGGAAACACGCTAAAAATCATATACCATCACTGTTGTTAGATGAAAAACGGTTTTCATCTAATAACTGAGATCCTAATTACAAATTCAAGTCAAAACACAACAATATACTATAATAATATATATAAGCCAATGAAATATTTTCGTTTGAGATGTTATGTAAACAACTCGTTTCTCGTGTTTCATCAGGGGACCAAACACTCGAAAACAATAAAACACTCGCGCTTCGCGCTCGTGTTTCATACAGTTTTCTCGTGTTTGGATCCCCTGATGAAACACTCAAACTCGTTGTTTACATATAACAACCAAGTGTGGATGAAACAGTTCAACTTCACGCCCCATATAGCTCAAATATTTGGAAGTTATAATCTTATAAAGTACAAAACAATAGATACTCCGAAAATTGAAAGCATTCTGAAAATTTTATTTCGACGTTTCGACTAAACTATACTGCATCATCAGGAAATGAATGATGATGATATTACAAGTATCAGCGCTGTAACAGTTACAGTAATTTTAACTAGTTACAGTTATAGTTACATTACCAAAAACATAACTAGTTACCGATACAAGTTACAGATGCCAAAGTGCATGTAACTAGTTACAGTTACAAAGTTACAATATATTTTTTGTAACTTAGTTAAAAAATTACAAGTTACATTTATTGATTGCAATTAAAGAATGCATATAATTCAAATGGACCGAATGATGAAACTTGCGGCAAAATTATTGGCAAAATTAATTAATAGATGTATCTGCATGTATCTGTAAAATTCCACCAAATAGATTTTTTTTAAAGGTGATCTACAGTCCGATCTGCGCATGTGCACAAATGAGCCCACTTTTTATGATACAAACAGTTTAACTATGTTTTGAGTTCCCGTTTCTTGATAATTTATTATACTCTAGAAGCTTGAAAATATAAATAGTTGTCAAATAAAGCTCAATATTTTGGACACAAAAATGTAAACAAAGGCTTTGTTTACATACGGACTGTAGATCACCTTTAACCAACCTCTGCTCTTACTGTATACAGTCTGAACGGATAGATTGAAAAATTAAAAAAAAGGTATCCCTTACTTTACTTGCTAGGGGCCTCCGACTTCGCAATTAAAAGCAGAAACGTGATCATGACTAGACCAAGTGAAATGAGGCAAAGACCAATTATGACGAGGCCAAGTGAAGGCATAAATGAAGGCCATATCATAATTATTACGACGGAGATATCTTAATATTTACGAAAATACAAAAAAATTTTCCGCAGATATAGTTATTTTCCCAATTCACTTTCTTGTGCCCAGAGAATTACCTGAATTTACCTAAAAATCTACTGGAAATCTACCTGAAATTGCTCATTAGCAATTATTAGGGGGGTGTCGCACCACCCCCCCAGTCGCTACGGCCCTGGGGGTTGGCTTTGCAAAAATATAACGGATAACAGGCCTAATGCGATATCGGTGCAGAGACAAAAAGGTTTCGACTAAAGTGGCCCTCTATCCATTTCCTATTCTATGCTTACGACCTCTGAAAAGGGGATGCCATTATTTTCTGGCAGACTAGAATTGCCCTACATAATTATCTGTTGTTTGGATACTTGAGACAAATATACCTGAAACGGCACAATATCTTTTGTCTTGCGTTTAATAAAATTTAAATCTTACGGTTGAGCGATTGAAGCCTTATGTTTCTATTGGGTAATTGCTTCATATAGTGAACAAAAACATAGAACAATCAGTGGCCTCGCCTTGGGAAGGTAGGCAAAACAGTGACGTAATTACTAAACGGCCTTAGCGCTTATACCAAGCAATTCTGGTAGGCAATTCTGCTGGCTGTAAATGGCGTTACTGCACTATTCACCTAGGTTATGAATAAGCATGTACCCTGTCAGTCTTACGTAGCGAAGGACCTTTAGAACTAAACAGACTTCCGTAATTCTTTGATCGAAACTGCTGCTAGAATCATCATCCCCCCCCCCAAAAAAAAGGTTTTTCACATCAGATTTAGCAAAATTTCAAAATTAGTTTTTAAACAACTGGAGGACTCGTCCCCATCACTGAGAACAATGGCGTTTGTTAAGCTTCCAAACCATGTTTGTTTTCCATAAACTATGTTAAAATCACCTTTATTAATAATTAGCAAGATTTGCAATTGTGCAGTATATTATACCGCCTGCCACGCAGGCTAAGAAGTCTAAGAATATTATTAAAGCAATATTTCCACTTTCCATAGTAATAATTATGCACCGGTAGGCCTACTCTGCATGGGACGGTAACTCGCCTGAAATCACTTGACCTAAACTGGTTTATTTTGGGGGTTTTTCACATTTAGTCTAAATATAAATCAGACATTGCATTCCCTAAATTTTAAATTTTTTCTTAAATCGCCTTAACTCGCGGCCGTTTAAGGAAAAGCCGGACGGCAATTGTTCCCAAAATGAGAATGTGCTGAAACTTCTCAGGCATGGAGTTTATGATATACTTAAAGTAAAATCACACAAAAAAGTTGGGGTCACCGAACTCGTTAAGAAGATATGACAATCACAATATATCACCTTTACCCCAATATGGCGCCATCTTGACGCTCATTACGAGTAACAGCAAAATCACAACAGCCCGATATTATTGACGTTTTTAGCGCGGATTTTGCTTTAGTAAACCTATCTTGTAATTATTTTTGAAAAAATATTGTTTTGAGCAAAATGAAACTACTAACGTTCACAATTGAATTCTGATCCACAAATGTCTTTTCCACATTTTTTTACATATCTTTCTTTGAGAACATGCATTGATGAAGGACTTTTTTCAAGATCCAGAAATAAATTTTCTTTTAATTTCGGATATGAAATGTAAGATGCATTAAAGAAATAAATTATCAGTTAAAAAACAGGGTCACCGATCTTTTTAGGGAATTGTGGCATTAAAACGTGAAATACAAGTAAATAAATATACTACAGACACAGGAACCCTAGCTACACTTTTGTATGCCTTTTTTGAAGACATTGATTTTAACGTAATTCTTTGCACGAATGTAACCAAAGATGTTTTGAAGTAACATAAAATTGTCACAAAATGATTTTTTTTTTAAACGGTACGCGGTACGTATAATGGATGAAATTATAAGTTATAAGATGTGCGCAGTAAAAGTGCGCAATGCAAAACTGCGGAATTACCTTAAGGCGAGTTACTGCCCCAGAGTAGGCTTACCGTTTGTGCAGGTATATATGTGCGAAATAGTGCAAATAGTTCTTAATTGTGTTTAATCATTGTGGTTCTTGTATCTCTAGAGCTGAATGTACTCCACATGACAATGTTGGCAATGTTTAATTCGATTCTTCACAATGGAGGACAGTACTCTTGCTGGTGCAACCTCGATGAAACTACGCACGCCGAGCTCATATGCTGTAAGAACCGATTGCTTCCACTTAACTGCAGCTGTCAATTGCCGACAGAGCAACTTTTTCATTTCCAATGGATCAGCTACTATATCACCATTGACGTTCATGACAATCGGTACTGTTGGCTCAGTGAACGCAGTGCGCATTATCATTTTGTTGACTCCTTCGGATGCTTGGTCCATGTAAGGAGAATGGAATGCACCAGCTACGCGAAGCTTTCTTACATCAATGACATCCATCTTCTCTTGGTACTCCCGTGAAAGAGATTCAACAAAGGCATCGCACTCCTGATCTTTCCCGCCGACAGTGTGTTGATTATCTGCCAGGTATGTTGTGATCATCATTGCAGGGTAGTTCTCCTGCAAGAAAGTTTCCAACTGTTCGCATTTCGGTCCAAAAACGCTAACCATCCCAGTTGGAGTTTCCCTCACAATGTTCTCCATAGCTTTTCCTCTTTCGGAAACGATATGCAGAGCGTCGTGAAAGTTGATGACCCCCGCATAAACAAGGGCAGCGAACTCTCCAACGCTAAGACCGGCGACGTGCGTTACGTTTGCCAAAATTTCGGGTTTCTCAGCCTATAACAGATACAAAATAAACAAAAAATGAATTTCCTTTTATCTGAATTCTGACTATTTTTAAGCTTTTAGTGGCAACATATTCATTGGTTTCGGAGTTCTGACTGGAGGACGGTGGTGATGGCTTAGGGCCGGAATGATTTTACCGATGTTATTTTTTTCACATTCTATTTAACAACAAGACGCCTGCTCAGGCGTTTACACTTCCCTCAAAAACGAGGACATGCGTGCTATGTCTATGATGTAATATAGAGAAGGGCGTGAGACCTGTAGAACCCCTACTTTCAGATGAGTGTGTAGAACAGTTTCGAGTCATACCTTGGTTTATGTCAGGGATCACATCAGCAAGATTGTGTTACTGAGGTACTATTAAAGCCGAAGAGCCAAATTCACGCATAGATACTGCAGCTTCAAAGCGAAAGTTAACTCAGTAACTTTTACATGTAAGAGGAGATTTTTTTGTATGTTACGTAACACGCGCTCAAAACTAATGCGTATAATATACCACTTGAGGTTATGACTAAATTCAAAATTTTTATTTTTCGATACGTTTCTCAATCGGCAAACAAACTTAAAAAGTATGTTTAGTGCTTTATCTGTAAAATAATGCTAAAAAAAAAGAGATTTTAGATGATACGCCAAAGAGAAAATAATGTCTGAAGTTCAGTAAGTTTTGCTTATATGGCTGTAAACATGGCGTCAATTTTAAAGCATCTTTGATAATTGTATTTTAATTGACAATTTTTAACTATTATTTTATGTACTTATGTACTATTTTATGTTCTATAAACTAGAGAACAAAGCTAAAACAAAGTAATTTTGAGAGGAACGCCAAAAAGATTTTAGGTTTTGAACACTTTTCATTGCAAATACGTGACATTGAAAAAAATTGCCTCTTAATAATAAATAGGGGGCTTTTACTCAAAACATGGCGGAAAGTTGATTTACACAAATTTCAATGCAGAAATTTAGAGGAAAGCAAATGCCATTCATAACAAAACAAAAGAGGCAGTAAAATACGAAAATACATTATTTGAAGGTAAGAAAAGGCTTTTTATGTCTATTTAACAATTTATTTGGCAATTTGAACCTGCTAAATACAGAGCGACACGGCGAGTTTCAAAAACACATTAGAGCAAAACAAAAACGAAAACTTTCGCCAGAAAAATGGCTTTATAAAACGTTCAAATGTTTTACTAATACATCACAGCAAAGTTTCTGCCAAACGTAACAATATAAATGAAGATTGAACAGCGCGTAAACGCTGTAAAACTTAAAGCTATAAATTATACTAAATTAAACTAAAATTATACGGCTGTGGGATAATCCATAAACCGGAACCAGAAAAACCTGGTGGGGTCATAATTGCGCATGCATTGCAGATGTAATGTATTTTATACTAAAATATTTTTTTAGTTTTGTGTATATAAATTTGAATAAATCATAAATACTTTTTCGTTCCTCGTAGTGCGATGCTTCTTGGACTTCTCGAAAGCCTTCGATCGAATCGGCTATAATATTCTTATTGATAAACTGATCGACCTGGGTGTTAGGAGATCTCTCTTATATGGATTATCCCAGAGCCTATTGTTCCCACCACAGGACAAAGGGAACACAAGCTCGGGGGAACGAGATTTCCAAGGACGGCTTTATCTAGATACGGCCCTTCTTAGGGAATAAGGCCCTCTTAAGCAGGGCTGTATCTAGATATGCTAGCCCTCCTAAGAAGGTATCTAGATAAATATCCCACATCCCCTTGCCAACTAGATAAACGCTGCACGCCTCCAGTCGGGAAAGAGAACATCAGCCGTACCTCAGACCTCACACTCCACCATGGGGAATAGCTGGATCATCGATATGAATAAACCTGGATCGCGCATCCGGTGAAACCAGGTGAAGCCATCGGAAATGACGAATTTAGAGTACCAAGATGGCGGCAATATAGCGGCTTTTCATATTTGATTTATACTTCAACTGAACTATGTATAGTATAGATCAGTGATTACATCTAGCTACCAGAACACTGAAGCTGGAGTAACAAGATGGCGGTGAGTGCCTCCAAAAGTTGACTGCTGGACTGACTGAAATGCGCGATCCAGGTTTATTCCTATCGATGAGCTAGGTAAACCAGTCATACTTGGCTGCTTGCACTCAGCCAATTTATTTAAAATACTTGCTCTTTTTCTTGTGGGACGTAAATAGACACATTGCGCATGCTTAACCACACTAAAGACGACAAAATGTGCATGGTCCAACACCGCGGAAAAACGTCTGCGCATGCACCAAATTATGAAAATATGGCGGGTAATTTGAATATCAATTTCTAAAACAAAAACATGCTTATTAATTGGTCAAAAATTAGTAAAACAAACGAGAAAATATAGCAAATGGGTAGACTAGACATTAATTGAAAGCGTCCTGGCATTTAAAGTATGGAATGAAATATAATTCATGTAAAAATTGTTGATTTTAACGGACACGACTTCGAAAATTTTTGCAAAATTATTCAAAACAAAAATTCAAACTAAAAAGTTAAGAAAACTCTCGAAAAGTTAAGCTTCTTAACCCACTCAAATTGTAGAATAAATCCTATAGTTTAATTATTGTGAACACGAAAATTTTTTATATTTGGCGACATAGTTTTTTTTTAAAGAAATGTATCTCAAACGAAAATTCGAAAATTGTCGTTGCTTAGTTGATAAGCAAAATGTTTCAGACGATAAATTTGTCAACAATCACCTTTAGTTCATGTTCTTGTACAATACAATTTCTTGAACCTTCTGGCTGTATTTATTCCTAGTTTTTAGAATGATATGTTTATTTTCGCGCTCGAAATCTGGCTGTAAAGACGCACAATGAAGTCACTCCTTTTTACCGCCATTTTGAGCCTTCGGAAACGTTCGGAACAGCTTCTCATCAAGTTCGCAATACTATTACAGGTAAGGTTGACGCATGCGCAGACGTTTTTCCGCGGTGTTTGCATGGTCCAACCTGATTTTTCGTCCCACAACAGCCGTTCTGTCTCGGCATATTTTTCAGGTGAAAGAAACCTCCGCAATCATGAAATAGGTTGTACTCGTTTTAAGATACTTTTAACACGTCTTCTTTGCATGAGATAGCAGGCTTACATAGCCTTTAGTAGTTTTACTTACCTTCAACTGTTCAATTTTTGCAAGACAACCAACAAAGAGAGCGACTTGGACAAATTCGGTCGACTTTAATTTTTGTTTCAGGGTGACTTCATCTCCTAGAATAATATCTAGAATGCTGTATCCTAGTACTTCTTCTGCCAATTGAAAGACCTCCCTTGCTTCCTTGCTGTCTTTCAACGTAACGCACATTCCAACTTTCTGAGAGCCCTGCCCCGGAAACATTAACAGAGTTCCTTCTCCTTTTAGCGATACTTCAGAGACAAGAGGACTACCCGAATGAAAACCAGCCTCCTCTTTAGTATCGATATGCAATTCATTTGTGATGAAGCGGGCCAATGCACCCAAGGTAGGATACCCAAATGTATCTGCAATTTCCAGTTGGAATCCGATTCTCTTTTTCACCAAGTTCATCATCTGTATAGCCAACAAAGATTCTCCTCCCAGAGAATTAAAATCATGTTCGGGATGGATGTTATCCTCTCCAAGTAGATCAGACCAGATTTTCTTCAGTTCTTCGTACACATTCTGCTCCCCTACCAGCACCTTGAGCTCATGAGCGGCATTTTTGTTGCTGTCGTCGTCACTCCTGAATTCATTTTGGAGCTCATCCAGTTTCTTCACCGGACCAAATCTGTGATTATGAAACAATAATCAAACTAGTATAAACATTCACCATTGTTAATGCGTTTCTTAAATTCGTTAAAATGCGTTTCTTAAAGCTATATATAAATTTATTTGTTCTATTACTTGTAAATTTTTTTTTAAGTTCTTTGTATGTTTGCATGGCGATAAAATATAATAGTTTTGTTTGTGGAAACACCACGTAAATTTATTACTGCAACAATTTATTAATTTATTATTTATTTATTACTTTATTATTATTATTTATGTTTGTGTAGTAATAAATTTACGTGGTGTTTCCACAAACAAAACTAAAAATTTTTTTATGTGTTATTAATGTGTATGTGCGCGCTTTCCTTGGCTGGGTATTTTTAGGCTTAAGAGTTCGTAGACCAGGAATGATGTAACAGAAATTAGGAATGGCGAATGTACAAAACTATTCAACTTTTAGCTTGTTTTTTATTTAACAATTATTCGCCGAAGGCGAGGTGATTATCGGTGAATAAAAACCGAGACGAAGTCGAGGTTTTTATTCACGATGATCACCGAGCCTGAGGTGAATAATTGTTTTGGTATAATTTCATAGGTGATTATTTGGGAAAAATAAGAAAATACACATTTTTTCGTCATTTAATTGTCAAAAAGGCTTCGGCCGCCATTTTGAAAATCGCTTAGGTGATTATCGCGTAATAATCACCTCATCGGCAACCAATCAGCGTGGAGAATTTTCAATAATCACCTATGTAATTATACTAATCTTATTTAATAAAACAAATAAAGCTTGTCGCTCTGTGCACATGTGATCTTATAAAAGCATGTAATCTTATAAAAGCACGTTTAACGTCATTTGTAATGAGTATGAACACACGTCCCTTGTGGAAATCAGTTGTTTGTTGACGTAGTTAGCGTGCCAAAATAAAAATTTCTATCTATCCATCTGTCTATTTGACTTTACAGTAAGTACGAAGGCACTTGACTTTGTCACTCAGTTACCCACCATTGATATACGATATGTTATTTGCCTATCACTAACCTATCAATATCTGTCTTCCACCATCCAAGACAAGAAACAAGGTCCAAACTTTTCTTAGAATCGGATGCCGGTTTTTCACTGCATAGGAACAGGAACTTCTCCACATGCTCTCTTTCGTCACTTTGGCTTGGACATGTGACCACGGACTGAAATCCTGCGCTTTTCAAAACTTGTTCCCATTTTTCCGGTTCCAGCATGGGCTCGAACGGTCGCAAGTCGTAGTCCTTGAAATACCACCAGCCATCCAGAATGCCCCAGGCGAGTGTTGCCCAGGTCTCGTTTTTCGCACTCTCGATGATAAAAAGTTTCCCATCATCACCGAGGCAGGATTTTAGGTTAAGCAGAGACTCCACGATGCTTTGCGTTGTATGGATGACATTGTAGGAGACGATAATATCAAAGGAGCCGAAGAGACCTTGTTTGGGTGCACTTTTGGTGATATCAAAAGTGGAAAACTTCATCATGTGTAGATAATCGGAAAACGTTGTCCTCGCGTGGTCCACAAAAGCTTTACCGAGATCAGTAAACCAGTACTCTATTTTTGGAATGTCCTTGAGCTTTGGAAGTATCTGTCGGGTGACGTGCCCTACTCCTGCACCAACCTCTAAGATTCTTACATGTTTTCCCAGACGAGAAAGCTGTTTGGCGTAAGAAGCTATGAGCTGCATGTACATGTTATAGTAAACATCACCCGTTAAGTCACCAAGCTTGTCAAACTGAAACATAAAATTGAGGTCCCCTCGAGGGTAGATGACCGACAGCGGGCTCATGTTTCCTCTCACGACTTTCTCCAGATGTTGTGAGCAGTAGAGTGGGAAGCGAAAACAATCGGCCCACGATGGGTACATCTTTATGGCGTGCTCTGCGATAACACTAGCTTCCACATCCAAATGATGACTGCATTTAAACACGAACGAGTCCAAACTGTGAATGGTTTCGTCCGTGCCTATTGCTTCAAGCAAATTGTTTCGCCATAGCTCTCTTATCATCACGAAGAAGAGTTTCTCGTATTTTGGCATCATCTTGGAAAGGGAAAAAGCGTGGTTGAAAGTAATCTCGTTGCCATTCATCAGGTAGTCGTTTAAGGATGTACTCAGGAACAGCTTAATGATAATTGCGGAACAGAAGCTATCAAGCTTTTCTTGAAGATCGTCAGCCGGTCTCAAAGGCAAATTTCTGATCAGTTCTCGTGTTTCTCTCAACTTTGTCCCCAGTAATTCAACAACATTCATGCGAAAGGTGCTGCCTTCAATTTTTTCTAATGGATCTAACCAATGTCTACTTTGGTTGTAAATAACTAGAGTAACTTCTGGTGAAGGCTGGATGGTCTGGGACTCGCCATAAAACAATCCATCGACGTTGATTGTGCCGTGTTGCAAAAAGGAAGCAACGTCTGGAAACGCGGACGTCTTGATTTCGTCATGTTGTGGACAGCAGAACTCGATGTCCCTACGTAATCTGGCCAGCTGTTTCATAGCACTTAAATCAGCAACATTTTCGCAGATTTCGAGCACTTCGAGCATCTGAGTTGGATTATGAGCACTGATAACAAGTCGCAATTTCATGTTGGTGTTAAGTTTGGTGATCTCTTTTAGACGCCTAGCTACGGTGAGACACAGTCCAGCAATGGTACTGATTCCTGATTTCAAGATGGATCGTTTGGTATGTATCTTGTGTAGGAGCAGCTGTTGTGTGAGTTGGTCCAAACTTGAGCCAGCGACAAGTAAATGGTAGCCGCGTTGACCAATGGTTTCTTCTAGGTTGTCTCTGTCTGTGTTTGGTGCTTCAGCAATGATGGCGTGGCAGTTCGTGCCAGTCAATCCAAAGGAGCTCACTCCTGCGATTCTAGAATATGTGCTGCTACTTGGATGCCATTCCACAGTTTCAGTTGAAACTTCCAGCCGAGAGTTTGCGATTTCTGGGTGTGGTGTTTTAAAATGAGCTGTTGGTGGAATCTTCTTCGCGTTAAGTGAGGCCAACGTTTTAAAAACACCCAGCATACCCGCTGCTGAATCAAGATGACCGAAGACGCTCTTCACTGAACCAATTGCCAAGTTGGTTTCGGTTTGTCGAGAATTGTCGAAAACAGATCGGAGGGCAGACAGTTCTATTCTGTCACCGAGTTTTGTTCCTGTTCCGTGGCCCTCGATATATGTGACCTCGGAAGGTTGTACTCTTGCACTGTTTAAGGCGCTCAGTATTACGTTGCGCTGAGAACTCGCCGAAGGCGCAGTGATCCCGTTTCCACGGCCAACGCTGTTTGATTCTACACTCTTTACGACGCCGTAAATTGGTTTCCCTTTTGCCGAGGCCGTTTCCAATGGCTCTACATACAAACACAATACTCCTTCACCCACTGCTGTGCCAGTAGCATCCTTATCAAATGCTTTGCATCTGAAGTCCTCGGATAGAATACTGTTTTTTCCATAAACGCCACTCCTTGATGGATACATCACCAAACTTACACCGCCTACGAGAGCTCCGTCACATTCCCCTCTTTTTATCGATTCGCAGGCTTCTTTCAGGGCAATCAGCGAGGACGAACATGCTGTATCTACAAGCATTGTCGGGCCTTTAAAGTCCCATTGGTAAGCAACACGGGACGCAATCATGCCGGGAAGGAGTCCAGAAATACACGTTGCCTCATCTGGGTGTTGCAGTCGGGAGTATCCGATTTCCGAAGAGCCTACGAAGACGCCAGTCTTTGAACCATGAATTTTCGAGAGGGGTTCGCTTTCGGCCAAAGCTTCTGTAGCCACTTGAAGGAACATGCGCTGCTCCGGCGACATGAATTTTGCCTCCCCCGGTGGGATCTTGAAGAATTTGTTGTCAAATTCATCGATTCTATCTAGAAACGCGCCTTGGAATGTTTCGGCCTCCAACAAGGTTTGCTCATCTTCTAACGACACACAGTTCAAGATATCTTTTCTGCGCCTTTCGGAAAAGTCACCCATGATATTACGTCCGCTTTCTAGGACTTCCCAGAGCTGAGGGAGCGTCATGATGTTTCCAGGAAGTCGGAGAGCAATTCCAGTTACTGCGATGTCCTTGACATTGTCATTGGTAAAAGGAAGAACCATAGTCACACCTAGGGGTTGTGTGCTCACTTCATTGTCACTTTGTGCTTCTTGTGTGATAAACTCCTCGAGCATGCTGATTGTCGGGTAAGAAAATATATCAGCGATTGTGACACTGAACGACGTCTTCTGACTGATCAATGTTGAGAACTTTACTAGAATCAAGGAGTGAGCGCCTTGTTCCATGAATGTCAACGTTGGGTCGATTTGTCCCGCATCCGATAAGCCAAGAGCCTCAGCAAATAACCCTTTCAAAGTTGATGTTGTTGACGACTCAACGCTGGATGCTTGTAGTGCTGACGCTTCTATTGTGCTTTCCAACAGCTTGGAAACTTTGGGAAGAGCTTTGTGATTCACTTTGCCATTGCTGGAGAGGGGAATTTCTGGAAGGGTGTGAACGATGTCCGGCCACATATAGTAAGGTAGTCCACCCTTGAGTTTACTACAGACGAGGTTTCTGTCTATCGTGATCTCCACACTGTCAAGTTGATCAGTCACCAGGAATGCACACAAGAATTCTGTTCCTGTGTCGTGTTCATTTTGTAGGATAACAACACAAGCTTGTGTCACGTGGTCTATTGTTTCTACAATCTTGTTCTCGATCTCTGTCGTGCTAATCCGGAATCCGCGTAGTTTTACCATGTTGTCCATTCGTCCCATGAGCTCTATATCGCCCGAGGGCAACCAGCAAGCAGCATCACCCGTCTTTAAGGCGTGGCAAGGGAGGTGGGAGATTGGTAACAGGTCCACGTCGCCTGACGCCAAAACCTCGCCGCTTATGTACAGCTCTCCAATGGTACCGACCGGACATGGCAAGAGTGTTGTTGAATCTAGGACATGAAGCCCTACCCCCGGCAGTGGTTTACCTATCGGAACTGTGTCACTTCTTGTGGTAGGAAGAATGTCTCCCTCGAAGAAAGCAGAATCGATCGTAGCTTCTGTCATACCATAGCTGTTCAGAACTCTTTGATCTTTCCTGAGCTTGCCTTTGATTGTGTGATAGACGTGTCTTTGTAGCACATCTGAGCCGAAAATAAAGACTTTTATGGAACTGAAACTATCTTGATTGGCGTTCGTGACGAGCTGCTGGCCAAACAATGGCGTTACCTCGATCATGGTGATGTGGTGGTTTTCGATGAGCTGTAGTATGTAGGGGATGTCTAATCTGCGTTTGTCTGGACAGATTGTCAGCTGCCCCGGTGCACATATCTGAAATGCATTGAGAATGATATTCTCAGAATTTTTCTGAATTAAAAGAATGTTTAAAAACATAAACGAAAATAAAGTTAAATTTTCGAGGGTAGGGTGAGGCAATGAGGTAGGAAAGATACGTTGAGGGTAGGATGAGACGATGTGGATAGGTGAGTGACGATACGGATGGAAATGAGCGAACAGGATGGGAATGAGCCGTTAAGGATAGGGAGGAGCGTTAAGGATAGTAAAATCAGTGATGATTACAATATTGCTAATGATAAAGACGACATCAGTAATTGTAATGAAGGTGATGGTGGTTGTAGTGGTGATAATCATAGGATAAGGTTATCAGCGTTGATGATATAATGATTGATGATGAGGATGGTAACAATGAAATTTAAGAGGATAACAGCGTTGATGATATAATGATTGATGATGAGGATGGTAACAATGAAATTTAAGAGGATAACAGCGTTGATGATATAATGATTGATGATGAGGATGGTAACAATGAAATTTAAGAAGATAACAGCGTTGATGATATAATGATTGATGATGAGGATGGTAACAATGAAATTTAAGAGGATAACAGCGTTGATGATATGATTGATGATGAGGATGGTAACAATGATATTTATGATATCGAGGTGACTGTCATAGTAATTATAGCAACTGAAACAAAAGCAAACGCATACCAATGCTCTTACGACATCTCCAACAAAGACGTCGAACGATATCGGTGCCCACTGCAGAACATTGACCTTGAATTCTGTCATTGCGTACTGATCCTTCCAGGCATTGGAAATAATGCGCAGGCTTCTGTGTGAGATTTTGCATTGTTTTGGGGTACCTGTGGAACCTGAGGTCTGAATTATATAAGCAAGGTCTTTTGTTGTTACTTTGACTTGGGATTCGTTGTATTTGTGTTTAGAATGTTTTGTCAGATCCTCTATCACGAGCAAGGGACTCCTTTGACGCTCCTCTTCGTTAAGTATTATAGATTCAGGTGGGAGATTTGTCAGAATTGCTGCTGGCTTATTTCTTCCTAGGACGTTTTTCAAACTGCTCTGATTGGTGGTGGCGACGGGCAAGAAATGGCCACCAGATTTCCAGACACCAAGAATAGCGGCAATCAAGTACTCGTCTTTGTTTGCGACTATCACAACCGGACTGTTCTTTATTACATCTTTCCCTAGTTCATCCAAGAGGGCGTTGGCAATTGTCGAAGAAAGTTCATCGAGTGTACAATACGACAAACGACGTTCATGGATGGCAACAGCTGTGGCGTGCGGAGTCTTTCTGGCAAATTCCTCGAATGTCAAATGGACTGGATAAGACTTATCTGTTGTTGAGTTAGTGGGAGTGGTGGTAAATGATTGCAGGAGATTGTGTTCTTGGATAGACAAGACCTGGACCTGGTTAATACTGTTTTCTTCCTCTTTGTAAGCTGTGACACATAGTTGAATAATACTTTCGAGCAATCGTTCAACAATGCCATCGTCAATGAGTTGGTCTGCCCATTCAGCAACAATTGTACTTTGGTTTGATTCTTGGTCTTTCACTACGTCCAGGCTAAGCGGCATCTTGGCATCCTTCGCGAACACACTTAATTCATCCGTTTTTTGGCTACGAATGGCGTAATTAAACATAACTGAGCAGAAAGAATTGGAGTTCTTACCTTGGGTTTTCCACAACATTTTGGTAACTTGGTCTAGAGGGTAGTTGGAATGGCGTAATGCTTTCAGCCATTGGGTGGCCACAGTTTGCATGTGTTCTTTCAATGTGAACGAGTGGTCGACTGAGATCGTGAAAAGGACGGTATTCACAAACAAGCCGTCTGTTTTCTCGTGGTTTTCCATTCGAGTCGTCACAGGGATTGCTAGAGTAATCTCTCCGACTCCAAGGTAGCGTTGAAGCACCAAGGCCGCGCAGGACAGAAAGTACTGGAACTCAGTTAGGCCACGCATGCAACAATAGTCCGCTATTTCATCAGCGGATTGTACTGAGAGGGCTCGAATGAAATGTTTTGCTGGGAAGACTCTTGTCGCGAAGCTATTTGAGTCTGCTATCGGACGAAGAGCCAGGTTCGAATCTGGTAGTAGGCTTTCAAACTTTTGCTTCCAGAATTCCTCGTCATCTTTGCATTTCTCGCTAATCAGATACGACTCTTCTTGCTTTACGTAATTTGCGTAATCTTCACTGCAAATTGACGAACTTTCATTATCCCCAATACCACTGTGTATCAGTTGTTCAAAGTCACTAGATATATTAGTAAGCGTGACATCATCCACTATCACGTGATGGACATGCAACGCCAGTATGTTTTCTTCCTTGGCTGTGATGAACCGAGCTTTGAAAAGGCTGGAATCTGTTATTTGTATTACGGGCGTCGTCTTCTTCAAAAAAGCCTCAGAGACTTTTGGACTGTGGACTACTTCCGATGTGATATCAATCTTTATCTCGGTTTCGGTAGACCTTGAGTACTCCAGAGTTTCTTTGTTCATGGTAATCTTGGATTTCAGGATTGGATGTTTTTGGACCAATGCAGAAATTATTTCTTTTGGGTCTGTTGATAAATTTGTTCGGTATGCTAGTGTTTCAACGTACGCAGCAGATCCGAGGCTTGTTTCTTGCATCAGGACCATTCGTTTCTGGGCAGAAGTCAGGGGGACATGACGCTCATGTTCCGGTCGCGAAATATATGAGGGTTCTTTATTTACCGGACATGCTTCTTTGACAATGTTCTTTATCTCGCCGTATGTGTGATTCTGAAGCACGTCAACTATCGAGATCTCGATTGCACACAATCGTCGAAGCATCGACACGAGGTAGACTGCACTAAAGGAGTTGCCACCACTTTGAACAAACGTGTCGGAGTCTTCGGGTGCTTTGTCGTTTTGCAACACTTCCATCCACGATGATCTAAGAGCCATTTCTTTTTCAGCGGTGTGCGCCTCTTGGCCTTTTGATGCAGATACCACTGTAGTTCTTGGATTGGTTATAAGCGGGAAAACGTGGTGATAAAGAGCCTGGTGTTTCAGGGACTGGCTCCAGTTCGTCTCAATCCATTCGTTTAGCTTTTCTAACGCAATGCCTGAGCTCGATTCGTTAGAAGTTTCGTTTAGTGACGGTGGTTTGCCAAAACTTTTATCAACATTTGTTGTTCGAATTGAGGTACTGCTGGAAGCTCGTGCATGGTTGGAATTCAGTATTGATTCCATATCAGGTTCTTGATGAGTCACATCTCGCTCTCTGCATCCGTCGTTGAAGAAAAGGCTCAAGTCAGAGACCTCTTTGAGGTCATGCAATGGTTCAGCGAACGGTTCTAGGTTCAAACTGTCACTGCAGACAATATTTAGCTGAGATGCAGACACAGCGGATGTCTCAATGCCGACGGTATCCAGAAACTCCAGGGCTGGGGTGTTTCTTTCTGTTTTGTTGATTGCAAAATTCACATGATTTCCCTTGCCTAACGCCATAGCTTCCTTGTGGATTTCTTTAAGAATTCTTCCTTCAACACCTCTGCCAAGAGCTCTGCAACTCACAACCCACTGAGTAACCAAGATAAAATCTGATGTACTCTTCAGTAAGAGGACACTTACTATCCCGTAGGCACCATGTTTGTCTTTGAGAGACACCAACCAAACAATATCGTTGTTGCTTGACTCGATCAAATCATTGTTCAGATCGTTCATTTTAAACTGGTTCGTTCTTTGGAGTAACTCTTTGGTTCTTGTATACAACTTTTTGACGCTTCTTAAGGATGGGACGCACGTCTTGCAGATCTCCAATTTCATTTCCCAACTCAAGAGCAGCTCGTTTAAAATTATCTTGTCCTTCTTTGCGTCCAGTTGCACTCCTAAAGAGAGAAAGAAATAAAGAAAGAGCAAACAAATTAAATTAGAAAAATGTTTCTATTACTATCCAAAATCTGTGGGCTTAGCACTTTTTCAACTTTGACAAAGCAAGTTCGAGTTTGGAAAACTTGCATATGTTGTAATAGTATTACTAATTACAAAGACAAACCTTGTAATTCGACTTGTCTTGCCAGCTCACTTCGGTACATTTCGGTTCGTTTTGAGGCATCTGAGCTCACCTGCACGCGGTCTAATGCCCACAGGTTTTGTACCAAAGGAGCCACGAGCTCCACTAACGACGGAAGTTGAAGGGTGAGTACTTCTGGGCAGCACCGAACCATCTTCTCGCACTCCACTGGATTATCATCTACAAACACAAAGCTATCGATGCCAAGATTAAGCAAATTCGATACATGTCTGATAGTCTTCGACTTCGGTTCCCAGTTGGCGACGATGACGGTGAAATCATTTTTCTTTAGCTTCATGTCGTTCTTCTGCAGCTCGAACACACTCTCCACGTCTGCTTGGCTGTTCTTACTCAGAATAACCAACAACATACCTTCTGCCTTCTTCTTCAGCAGGAACTCGTGAAGCTCATAGTTCCCTTCGTTAAAACGAACGGATCCTTCTGCACACTCTCCATCCCATAGCGTATAATCTGCGTCAACTGCAATTACTTTGTACGTGGAGCCCCATGCGCATGCTCGCACCGCCCTTGCCATGGTTACTCCAAGATGCCAGTATCCAGCTCTGGTCAGCGGCATGTTGTATTCAGTATCTGAACGATCGTCATAGAAACTTGAGAGGTTTTCAGGGCTGATTTCCAAACTCACTTGATCTGCAAGTAATGGCGTAGGGAGCTTTGAGGTGTTTGGCAAGTTTTCTGTGTTTACCAGGACGACCGATTTGCTGGTTGCAACACGACTGTTTGATTGGCTACATGCATTCATTAGGTCCTTCCCTTGGGCAGTGTTCTTTGGTCTGGGAATTATCAAGGCTACGTCAGCTGAGGACTGGGTAATTGTTGGATGTGGAGTACAAAGGACCTGTAACATTTGTTCGGGAGGTTGAACGCGGACTTGATTTGGGATCGTGGCATGGTGGGCTAGAGCATCTGTCATGGCCTTCAGACACTCTGGAGCAATATTAAAACCTGGGATAATTTCCACGCTGATTTCTTTGGGTTTGGTCTTGGCTTTTCCAGCCATAGCAATGACATTAAGTTGGGCTTGCTTGATCAGATCTCTGATGACTTCTTCGTTGACGACACTGCCATCAAAAAGACAACCAAACTTGAGTTTCCCTCCGTGTACCCACGCAATAATTTCCAAGTCATACTCAAGGAATTCTTCAGGATGCCGATGGAACCGTCCTTCCTTCAGCTCGTTCAACATTACTTCAATCCAAGGTATGTGATTGAAGCTGAAACGGCCACCATCAAACGTTTCCTTAGTCGACGCGTCCATCGAACCTTGATACACAAACATGATTTTTGGGAGTGGCATTCTTAGCGCTTGTTTTGATTTCAACACACCAAAGCCTAGGCCATGGTTGGGGATCATGCTCATCTTCTGTCCCAGATCTTTTGCTTGGCTAACAAGATCTCCTGACAGCGGCGTGTGGAGAATGACTGGGAAGAAGCTAGTGAGCCAGCCTACAGTATCGGTTGAATCCACAGTTGTCAGTTGCCTACCATGGCTTTCGAGGCATATACCAGTCTTGTCCTGGCCGTGGATAGCAACTAAGGCTCTTCCAAAGGACGTCAAAAGTATATTTTCTTCGGAGCATTCAAGTTCACTTGATGTTGACCGTATCAGTGAGGCATCTATTGCTTCGCTGACCCACTTAGCTGTGCGGAAATTGCTTTGCTTGTCTTCTTCAATGAGCCGACCCGATTTCCTGTATTCTTCTTCTATACCCCTCCAGTAATCAATCTCGTCGATGAATGCTCTCTCGGCTTCGGCTTGAAGCGCTTTGCAGTAAGTTTGGAATGTGACTTCACACTTTTTCAGCTCTGGTTCTTTCGTGTCGTCTTCACTAAGCTTTCTTAATGCGCTGGCAAGATCTTCCAGTAATTGTTGCCAGGAGACGATGTCCAACGCAACGTGATGTACTACAAGAAGCACGAAGTGTTCGCGTGTTTCTGGAACTCCTTTTTCGCTCACGTTTACAACTGCAGCATTAACGAGATGACCGTTCGCGAGTGAATGACTCTGTTCCAGTCTGTCGCATAGTTCAATAAACATCGGCTCGTCAGCAAGGTGATCTTCGCTCTTTTCAATTTCCAATACCTTCACCGTCAGTTTATTGAGCTCAATTGGAACGAGCTGCTGGAAAACTCGTCCTTCTTTTACACCAAAACGAGAACGTAACGAGCCATGTTTTTTTATGACACTTTTGAGCGCCATTTCTAAGATTTTGGTCGAGATTTCGTCGTGAAAGTTTAACACTGCCGACAACGAGAAGCGGTCTGGTTGTTTCAAGGGCGGATGTCTTTCGAAAAATTCTTCAATTATTGGCGTCGGGCGAAATGGGTTTTGTTCTCCTTTTGATGAAACCTCCACGCGGATCCTTTCTCCTTCTCTTTTTTTAAGGATCGGTGTCAATTTCTGAATGCTTGGATTCTGGAAAACATCCGTGACTGACACTTGGAATCCTTCTTCTCGCATCTTCCTCACCAAGTGTATGGCCTGCAAGGAGTCGCCTGACAAGTCGAAAAAGAAATCGTCTTCAGGCTTGGGTAGGTAATCGACCGGTAAAATGCTTTGCCATATTCGTTGAAGCTTTGCAGTTTGCAGAAGACCCTGGTACGAATTGGATGAAGTCGAAACCTTGCCAGGACTTACTTTTTCAGCGATCATTTCGGCTAGGAACAACTTCTGCAAAAAATCCACGTCTTTTTTTCCATTCTTGTTGGTCGGAGCTGCGGAAAGCTGGACGAAAACTTGGGGAATGGATCGAATGGGAAGCACATCTGCCAGTGACGACACTAAGTGTTGTTTCCATGTCAAGTCACCGCACTTTCCTTGCTTAAAGTCTTCTAGTTTCACAGCAGCTCCCAACAGCGTATGTTTCTTGTGTGTGAAGGTGCACGCCCATGCACTGATGACAGCGGGATCGGCCTCTATAATGCGTTGTACTTCCATCAAATCCACCCTTATTCCGTTAATTTTTGTTGTGTGAGAGTCGCGATCCCTACCAAAGCAAACCAGCTCACCAGACAATGGCATGAGTTCAACGATATCTTCAGTCAGCAGCATTAGTTCACCAGGTCTGCCCCAACACGAAGCTCTAAAAGACTTGGTTCGTTTTGCATCTCTGGACACTCCACTTCCGGCGAAGTCCAAGCACAAGCATTTTCCACCAATAGCCAGGTGGCCTTTTGCGCCCTGGGGAACAGGATCTCTCTGATTTCTTAAGACAGCGACCGTGACGTTGTCAATTGGCTTGCCAATTGGAATGTGTTGGTATTCTTTGGTAGGTAGTTCGTCGCTCGTCAAGCATCGGACGACACAGCCAACTGTGGCTTCTGTTGGCCCATACTCGTTCCAGACCACAAATGGACAATCTCTTTTATTCGTCTTTAATTTCTGAAGCAGGGCAGAAGTCAACTCTTCGCCGCCCAAGATAAAGGTGGAGGCGCTGAGGGGTTGGGTACTATTGGAGAGGATTGTGTCAAGTTGAAGAGGCGAGTACTTTGCAGTCGTGATCTCGGTTGAAGTAGCAAGAGACTGGTACGAGTCTTGAAAAGGGTTAAAGACTCTAATAATGCTCCCTCCCAGTAGAGGTGGAAATATACTTGTTACAGTAAAATCAAATGTCAGCGGCGCAAAAAATGGCGTTAAAGTACTGGAATCGAATTGATATGCCTTGGTTGCCCATGTGACGTAGTTCACCAGTGCTTCATGGCCGATGATGACTCCTTTTGGAGTCCCTGTAGTACCGGAAGTGTACAGCACGTACGCCTCATCTTCAAGCTGAATGTCACGTGACCACTCAGAGACAACTTGTTGTACGGTATCGCTGTGTTTGTTCTCCAAAGCTTGGGTCACATCTCGTAACGCAAAGACCTGTTTTTCTAATGCTTGCTTGCCAGACGGTTGGCACTCACTTGTGGTGGTGAATAATGCGTCAAATCGAAACTCGGTAAGTTCGTTAGCTACTGTGTAATGTTTCCTCGACGTCATTACGGACTTCAGAACATTCGAGGAGTCACACAAGTGCTGCATAAATGCTCTCGATAGGAACAGTTCGTTTCGCCAGTCGGTCTTTACTCTGCATTCCGGGTGGGCCTTCTTAAAAGACTTCAGAGACATCACAAGCTTTTCTTTTAGGTCAAGATCCATAACGTCACCCAGGAAAAGGACGCCACCTTTGTCGAGCAGTCTTTCACAATCCTTAAGGACTGCGCGTAGGTAGTTATGACCTGGGAAACAATGGACCACACTGTTCATGACGATCACGTCAAATTTTCTCCCACGTAGCTTGCGCTCTACTCTGTCGGCCGGAATGCAAAGCACCTCAACATTTGTCACGACTTTCTTTCGTAGTTCCGCTTCAAGTCGTTTCGTCATAATCTCGGAGAGGTCCGTGGCGACATACTCACCAACCCTTGGACTGAGTTTCTGAACGGTGAGCCCTGAGGCACAACCAATCTCCAGTACCCGGGTTGTGGGTTTAAGGTGGTCTTTCAGTTTGGTCAAAATGTTTTCGGCGTATTCCTCCATCTCTTCGACACTCATATGCTCTCCATTGTACGAACTTTTCCATCCTCCGCTTTCGATGTCGTTTTTCGCTGTTTTTGCCACACAATTCCATAGATCAGCATCCATTAAAGGGGAATTTTCGACGACATCTTGAATTGCGAGAAGGTCCTGTGAATCAACGCAGATTATCGACTGAACAAAAGAACAAGCCCAGTGAAGGTCGTTGGCAATTCCGATATGTAATTTCCCGAAGATTATAGCTTTGATCTCAGCCTCCTTGCAGACATGTTCCAGTCGTGGCTTCGGGCTGCTTGGATCCATAGGAACATAGACAAGACCGGAGAGCAAGGATGCTAGAATATATTCGATTGTTTCGACAGAATTCTCGAGAAGCAACCCAACTCTTGACTGTTTTGGTAACTTGCAGACCTCTCGCAGAAAAAACGAACACTTCAGTGCACGCTCCAGTAATTTCTTATAAGTAATTTGCAGTTCATTGGCTTCAATGATTGCGGTGCTTTCGGCGTGTGTTTGGAGGCTTTCCATAATTAACACAGGAAGGGATTTTTCGTTTTTGCGAAACGGCCCGCGCAAAATTGAAACGCCTTGAGTTTCCTTTTGCCCCGTGCCTTTCAAATTTCCAAGTTGCATCAGAGGAGTATTGCTGTTTTCACAACAGGATTCCAACAACCAGATGAAATTATCGACAACCGTTTCGGCGTACAGATCAGAGAACAGGTCGCTGTAGTACTCGAGGGTGAATCTCGTGCCTTCTGGTTCTTGAAGGAAGTCAAACTGCATGTCCCACTTGGTTGTTTCGTTATGCTGTAGTTTCCTCTCGACAGTGATCTCACTTGGTGGGCTGGTATGCTCGGCTTTTATTTCAGTGTTATGGTAACAAACGTTGACGCTGAAGACAGGTGTGATGCTTGTATCTCGAGGTAGGTTCAGCTGGCTAACAACATGGTCGAATGGTGCTATTTGATGGTCGAACGCTTCCAGGAAGATTGCAGAAACCTCCTCGAGGATATCGGAAAAGGTACAGGCATCGGAAAGCTGTACTCTTAGCGCAAGGGTGTTGACAAAGCATCCGATAACGTGTTTGAATCTCAGGTCGTTTCGCCCTGCAACTGGAGTACCAATGATTAAATCTCTGTCGCCGGTGTACTGGTGCAACAAAGCATAGACAACTGACAAGAGCTTTACGAATACCGTGTATTTGTCGGAGCTGAAGTTCCTTAAAGCTTCGAGAATACTTTTATCCAGAATCCTTGTTATCCTCTTGCCTTGGTGAGTAAATACAGCCGGCCGCCTTTTGTCTCCTGGGAATGTAGTCAACGGCAAAGGACTGTCTAGTTTCTCTTTCCAGTACGTCACATGAGTTTCCATCTGCTCGTGCAACGAGCCGTCTTGTTCCTCTTTGGCAAACTCTGCGTATAATGGTCGTTGTACCTCCTCCTTAATTTTCTTTCCTTCGCACAGCTTTTTGTAAGAGTCCCAGAGTTCGTTGTAAAACACAAAGTGGGACCATCCGTCAAAAACTATGTGATGAACGACCATAGTGAAATAGAATACATCGTTCGGAAGGCAGTAGAGTTTGCATCGGACTGGGCGACCAGCACGGAGATCGAAACGTGTTTTGTAATCGTCCCTGTAAAGAGTGGTCACTCTTTCTTCTGCTTGGAAACCAAACTGTTTCATGTCTATTTCTTCGACCTTCGCGTCCAGCTTCCAGTCGTGAGTCTGTGTTGGACCCTCTTTTGTGTCCGTGATGGTCGTGAAGAAAGCGGCATGTCGAGAAAGGACTGTATTGGCTGCGGCACTGAAAGCTTCTGAGTGGAAGTTTCCAGTAATGCGAAGACAATTTGTTGCATTATAGGCACACGAGCTAACCGCTATCTGTTCCATCACCCACAAGCGCTTTTGTGAGAAGGAAAGAGGGAACATCGCTTGTGGAACGTTGCTTGAACATTGCTTCTTGTTTGAAAATTTCTCGTTTGTTGCTTTTTCTTTCGGTTGATCGTCGCTCTGGATTTCTCTGATTGCACTTGTAGGACACAATTTTTCGTAGATAATTTTCCAGAGCGAACTGTACGTGGGAAATTTTCTCAGCTCGTGCATCGTCAACGGTTCGGAAATATTCAGAATGTTCGCCAACTTCATGTTCATTTGGGTCCAGGTAAGAGAATCGAACCCCAGTGTGAACAAGTTCTCATTCTCTCGCTCCTGCCAGTCATAATCTGCAGCCAGACTGTGATTGAGAGCTCTTCCAAGGATCGACTTAACATCCTCTTCGCTTAGAGTACGTTTCTCTTCTCGTGACTCTTCCGTTAACTCATTTGGTTTTGCTTGAGCATTCACGTGTTTTTCGACAAGGTCTATGAGGCCAGCACATGTTGGGTTGTCATGGAAAGCCGCCAAAGTGACTTTGCAATTGTCTATGTCCTGTAATTTCATCGATAGTTGGGTATAGAGCAAGGAATCCATGCCAAGTGCAAAAAGGTTTTCATCTAACATCTCATTCCAATCATAATCTGTGCTGAGGACTTCATTTAGTGCGTTCTGAATGGCTATTTTGACGTCTACGCTTGGCGTCGCTGAACAGTCCAACTTGTCTCCAGGCTTGTTCAGTTTGCTTACCTCGTTGAGACTGAGCGCTGGCATATCTGCGAGACTGTCGTGAACGAAGTGACCTTGCGTAGTTAGCCTGTGTTCTAACTGCAGCAGCCCACTATTGATCGTTTTCCCGACCTCAGGCCAAAATCTGGTGAGCTCAAAGGCGTAGTTGGGAAGCAATGACACTTTCTTAAGACCATTTTTTTCGGCATAGAATTTATTCCAACAGGTGTCTTCCAGGTCTAAAAACAGCTTGGCATATTTGTCGATATTGCTTGGCAATTTGATATCCCGATATGAGGTGTTCCCAAAATTAACAAAGTGACCATAATCTCTCAGAGTATCTGTCTCTTTCGCTGATGTAGTGGAATTGAGATCTAGGTGGAGGTCTTCCAAGGCTTTGGCCATGAGTTCCCAAGTAGTTCCAAATGCAATCGCTCTGTGTTTAAATCTCTTTTGTTCACGGCCAGTGTTCAACGTGTAGCACACGTTCCTTAGCATTAGGTACGATTTTGTTTCCGACTCGTGGAAATATTTCGCGAATTTTCCTACTAACGACACCAGTGAATGCCTGGTGTTTGCTGCAAGTGTCAGTAGCTGACTCTCTTGGCAGTGCTCTTGCAGAACATGCATACATTTGGAGAAACTAACCGCGTCGTACTCACGCACGACCGCGTGGACATTCGTACCCAGAAGACCAAACGCGCTTACGCTTGCGTATCTTGTGGGAGTCTTTTGCGATGGGGGCCATTCTTTGAGCACAGTGTTTACGTAAACTGGAGAGGTGTCCCAGTTGATGTGCGGGTTAGGTTTAGTGAAGTTAATGGCAGGTGGTATCTTTTCTTTCTGTAGACACATCAGGACCTTTATCAGAGACACAACCCCAGCCGCTCCGTCAGCAAGGTGTCCAATATTAGCTTTCACTGAGCCGATTGGGATCTTATTTTCTCTGTCATTCTCGCGGTAACTATAGCCGAACGTCTTGAACGCTTTGGTTATTCCTGAGATCTCTATGGGATCCCCCAGCTCGGTACCTGTTCCATGCGTTTCAAAATAACCCAACTTGTCTGGACTGATGTCTGCTAGTTCCCACGCCCTGTGCAACATGTTGGCTTGAGCTCCCGGATGTGGTGCTGTAATTCCATTCGAATGACCATCTTGGTTGGCTGTCGTGGCTGCTAAGACTCCATAGATATGATCACCGTCTATTTTAGCTTTAGCCAAGGGTTTGAGAATGACAACGCCGCAACCTTCTCCTTTGGCAATTCCTTTCGCTGAAGCATCGAATGCACGGCACTTAACGTTCGGTCCGGTAATTCCGAGCTGATTCCAGATGTCTGTTTTGGCGCTTACAGGAAGGAGATCTAGGGTAATGCCTCCAGCAATGGCCATGTCGCAATCTCCAGAAAGCAAGCCCTGGCAGGCGACGTGGACCGCGAGCAGAGACGACGAACAGCCTGTGGCAACCATCATTGCGGGGCCTTGTAGGTTGTGGGTATACGAAACACGAGATGAAATGAAAGGGGAGTGATTCCCATGGGAAATGCTTGGATGGTTTTCAGTCAAGATGAATTTGTACTTGTTGACAGTGTTTCCAACATAAACACCTGTATTGGAACCTCGGATGGTCGACGCGTAGCCAGCGTCCTCGATAGCTTCCCAGGTTGTCTCTAGGAAAAATCTTTGCTCGGGTTCGATAAAAAGAGCTTCTCTGGGATTGATTTGGAAAAGCTTAGCGTCAAACGTGTCTACCGAATGAAAGAATGAGCCAGTGAAGAAGGGTTCGTCTTCGTTGACCAGTTTTCCTCGAAACGGCGCGATAGCATGTTCAATATCCTGGACTCTGTTTACTGGAAATTTTGCCACACTGTCACCACCGTTTTTTAAAAGTTCCCAAAACTGGTCGCATGTTTGGGCACCAGGTAGCCTCGTTGCCATGCCGATAATGGCAACGGGAAACTGGCTGCTGGCCATCCCTGGAGAAAATAATATACAAAAGTCGGTTTATAATATACAGGCGACGTTTTGCGTGCGAACTCGACTTTTTTCTTTGTATGCGTGGTAGACCATGCCGGCCACTGACCTGTATATCACAGGCAGTGCTGTAACAGTTACAGTTTATTTGTAACTAGTTACAGTTATAGTTACATTACCAAAAACGTAACTAATTACCGATACAAGTTACAGACGCCAAAGTGTAACTAGTTACAGTTACAAAGTTACAATATATTTTTTGTAACTTAGTTACAAAGTTACAAGTCACATTTATTGATTGCAATTTGCAATTAAGAACGCATACAATTCGAATGGGCCGAATGGTAATGAAACTTGCGGCAAAATTATTGGCAAAATTAATAACTATTTACTAGATGTATCTGCATGCATCTGTAAAATTCCACCAAATCTATTTTTTAATAGAATTGTCAATTTAAAAAACTCTGCTATTATACAGTCTGAACGAATAGATTGGAAAAAAATATACCTCACTGGCTAGTGGCTTCTGACTTCGCAATGAAAAAGCAGAAACGTGAATACGTGATCATGACTGGGCCAAGGCCAAGTGAAATGA